ATACATATTGTCCCACTATCCAATTTTTCCTTGATGAAATGTCTGTCTACTTCGACATGCTTCGTTCTATCATGTTGCACTGGATTATGTGCAATGTTTATTGCTGACTTGTTGTCACAATATAGTTTCATGGGTCCATTCCATTCAATCTTTAGGTCTTGTAGAATTATTTTCAGCCATAGGAGTTCACAAATACCTAAAGCCATAGCCCGAAATTCTGCTTCTGCACTTGACCTCGCAACAACGTTTTGTTTTTTGCTCCTCCAAGTCACCAAGTTTCCTCCAAGAAAAGTACAATATCTGGATGTGGATCTTCTGTCATCTACTGATCCAGCATAATCAGCATCTGTATAGGCTTCCAAAGTAATTCCTTGACCCTTTGTAAATAGAATTCCTTTTCCAGGAGTGCCCTTCAAGTATTGCAAAATTCGGTAAACAGCTCTAAGATGATTTTCTTTGGAATTATGCATGAATTGACTCACCACTCCCACTGTATAAGCTATGTCTGGCCTAGTGTGAGATAAATAGATTAACTTTCCAACCAACTTTTGATAGGATTCTCTGTCCACAGTTGCATCTTCAACAAATTCACTAAGTCTGTGATTTTGTTCAATTGGAGTTTCTACTGGTTTGCATCCCAATTTACCAGTTTCAGATAATAAATCCAGCACATACTTCTGTTGAGAGATGAAAATACCGTGACGAGAGTGTGCCACTTCAAGGCCCAAAAAATATTTTAATCTGCCCAACTCTTTTACTTCAAACTCTTTTAGCAAACACACTTTTAGGCTATCCATTTCTGCTTGATGATTTCCTGTTACAATTATATCATCCACATAAACAATTAGTGCAGTAACTCCCCCTAAGGCTGAATGCTTAGTAAACAAAGTGTGATCTCCCTGACTTTGTTTATATCCCATATCTTTCATCATAGTGGTAAACCTGCCAAACCAGGCCCTAGGGGACTGTTTCAGTCCATAAAGGGCCTTCCTTAGCTTACAAACTTTGTCTTTCTCAAAGTTAAACCCAGGTGGGACCTCCATGTAAATTTCCTCTTCAAGGTTGCCATGTAGGAAAGCATTCTTGACATCGAATTGCTGCAAATTCCATCCATAGTTAGCTGCTAGAGATAACAAAATTCTGACAGTGCTCATTTTTGCGACAGGAGAGAAAGTCTCATGATAGTCAATCCCATATGTTTGTGTGTACCCCTTAGCTACTAGTCTTGCTTTATACCTTTCTAGTGTTCCATCGGACTTGTATTTAAGGGTGAATACCCATTTACAGCCAACAAGTTTTTTGTCATTAGAAAGCTCTACTAACTTCCAAGTTCCATTTTTCTCAAGTGCATCCATTTCAACTTTCATAGCTTCTCTCCACTCTTTGCTATCTAGTGCTTCGGTAACATTTTTTGGGATAGCGGTAGTGTTTAAATGAGCAAGAAAACTTATATGATTGTTGGACAAATTATCATAGGATATAAAGTGAGACATTGGATACCTTGGCCTTCTTGTACATGCTCTAACATCCTTCCTTATTGCAATTGGAAGATCTCTAGCATCCATGGATATATTCTGCTCCTCTAAATCAGTCCCATCAACTTCAGTTTCAGGGGGCACAATTTGCTCCTCTAAAACAGTCTCATTGATTACAGTTTCAAGAATTGGGTCAGATTCTGGGACTTGCACAGGTTGGATAATAGGTGCTGCCCTTCTTGTGTAAACTTGTAGTGGACGAGTAGCATTAGAAGTCTGTAATGAAGTGGTTATAGGACTTGACTCGGGAGTCTTGGGCATAAAAGAAAGGTCTTTGAACAAATCATCCTTATCTTCGATGCATTCCTTCTCCCCCTGAAGATAAGGTTTGGGAAAAAAGGATTCGGTTTCGACAAAAGTGACATCAATAGACACAAAATTCTTTTTTGTTGTAGGTTGATAACACTTGTAACCTTTTTGGGTAGGCGAGTAACCAAGAAATATGCATTTAATAGCTCGGGGATCAAGTTTTCCTCGATGTGGAGAATGAACATGGACAAATGACACACACCCAAAGATCCTAGGAACTAGGTGGTTTGAAGTTTTGAAATTTGGGTAGAATTTGGAGAGGAGATGAATGGGGCTGTTATTCTGAAGAATTTGAGAGGGTAAGCGAATAATCAAGTAGGCTGCAGTAAGAGAAGCCTCCCCCCAATATTGTTTTGGAACATTTGTGTGGAATAAAGATGCTCGGGTAACATTGAGAATATGCCCAATTTTTCTTTCAGCCACCCCATTTTGTTGTGGGGTGTGGACACATGATGATTCATGAATAATACCATGTTCAGTGAAAAAGGAAGACAATGTTTGATTAAAATAATCTTTGGCATTGTCAGAACGAAACCGTTTAATGGTAGTCTCAAATTGGGTTTTTATCATTTGGAAAAACAATTTAAATATTTGAGTGACTTCACTTTTTTGTTTTAAGAGATACATCCATGACACTCTAGTACAATCATCAATAAAAATGACAAACCAACGGGCCCCCGATATATTTGGGATATTGGATGGCCCCCAAACATCACTATGGATTAAGGAAAAAGGAGTAGACATTCTTTTATTATTATTAGGAAAGCTGACACGTTTGTGTTTAGCAAGTTCACAATCATCACAGTGAAAATTTTCTAAGTTTATACCTTGAAACAAGGTGGGAAACATATTTTTGAGAGTGCTAAATGAAGGATGACCCAACCGGAAGTGACGCAACCAGATTTCTTTATTGAGGAAAGGAATATATTCTGACAACAAAGACAGTGGAAGTTGACTCTTAATGCTACTTGTCTCACGCGCTTCCATAAGAAGGTAGAGCCCATTGTCCTCTCTAGCAAGTCCAATCATCTTCCCCGTTTCCTGATCCTGAAATTTGTAAAGTGTAGGAGTGAATGTTACCAAGCATTGTAAATCTGTTGTAAGTTTGTGAATAGATAACAGTTTGACAGATGATTTGGGCACATGCAAGACATCTCTCAACATTAAATTTTGACTTAGTGGAATATCTCCCTTTCCTGCAACAGTAATAAAAGTGCCATCTGCAGTGACAATCTTTTTATTACTTGGACACGGTGTGTAAGAGATAAACTCTATAGAGGAATAGGTCATGTGATTCGTAGCCCCAGAATCAACAATCCATGTCCCTTTTCCTGTAGATTGTAAAACACTAAGAGCATAGGGATGAGAACTACCTGATAATGCCATGGAAGAACTACCTGTGTTTGTGGGTTTGACTAAAGAGTCTAGTAGTTCCCTTAGTCTTGTAATTTCTTCTGAATTGAAATCAGCAGTAGGTTTGGAATGACTTTCCTTGACAACACTTGATTGGACCAAGTGGGCATGTGCTGGTCCTCCTCGTTGAATGCCTTTGGTGTTCCAATTTCGGTTCTGATTTGGCGGTTTTCCATGAAGTTTCCAGCATCTGTCTTCGGTGTGCCTTGGCTTCTTGCAGAAGGTACACCATAGAGAATCCTTGTTATCCCCTCTTTCAATCTCCATTTTGGGAGCTCCTCCGGTTTGACCGTTCTTCCATTGGTCAATGTTCTTCTCTCGAATTTGTGCTACTAAGGCTGAACTTTCAGTTGATTGAGGCTCCATCATCACTCCTCTTCGTGATTCTTCTATTCGAAAGGCAGCCATGGTTTCATTTAGTGAGGGTAACTCTTTTCCGAGTACTTGAATCCTTATTGGATCAAACTCATTGTTCAGACCGGTTAAGAACTTATAGATTCTATCCTTCTCCTTATAATTTTTTAGTAAAGTAGCATCTGCAGTGCATTTTGCTTCAAAATGTTCATAGTGATCCAACTCCAACCATAGATTTTGTAGAGTTTGGGCATACTCACTAATGGACCGATCTCCTTGCTTGGTAGTTGCAATCTTCATCTTAATTTCGTAAATTTGTGCAGCATCACCAACCTTGGAATAGTTTTCTTTACAGCTGTCCCACACCTCTTTGGCAGTCTTCATGAATATGCATGCATCACTAATCTCAGGCACCATGGAATTCCATAGCCATGATATTACAACAGCATCTTCTTCATCCCATGCAGCAAATTTCCCGTCTGTAGCTTCTGGAGTATCCTTTCCAGTAAGATGATTCAATTTGCCCTTCCCCTTTAAAAAGGTTTGGACAAAATGAGACCATTTGATGTAGTTTTTACCATTGAGACGAAGGCTAGGTTGAACATTTTTCAGCTCAACAGAGCCGGTGTTTGGGGCAGGGGTATTAACTGGTTCAGACATTCTGAATTTTGTTGGGAAAAACGGCAAGATAGACCGTAAAATAAAATCGACAATGCAGACCGCACAGCGGAAACAATGGCAATGCAGACCACTATTTTTAACAGGCTCCTATGGATTTTGGAGCTCTGATGCCATGACAGAGATAATGTTTATTATATTGATTAGAGCAGCCTGTGCTCTTAAATAGAATACAATATATTTAGGAAAGGAAATTCCTAATAAATACTTATCATTGCCCTCAATCAATTCTATAAGTAAGGACCAATAATTTCTATAAATACATACACAACTAATCAAATCCTATTTATGGGATTTTAATCCTATTTAACTATAAAATATACCACTAATTAACACATGTACAGCTCGTTCTGACACATTCAACCAGAGAAATCATGCTAAGACCCCCTGCATCCTTAGGGCTACAAATTTGATCCCAAGAGACAGGAGCCTTCCTGCTATTAGTATCCTTACCAGTCCATAGAAATCTTCTACACAACCCTTCAATATGCTGAATCACCTTCTTAGGAATTGGAGATGAGGGTCACAAGGGAGCAATTGAAGGCTTTGTATAAGGTACCAGATTCAAAGAATTCCTTAATAGCCTTAGAGACATCACCTCATATTATTTGCCAATCTGATTTAAAGAACATTGAACCTCAACCCCAGGGGCTCTGGTATTCCCTATGCTATTCAAAGCCTGCTTGATTTCTTCATCATTCACAGGACTGATCAAAAGTAACCCCTCCCTCTGTTGATAGTCTTCCGACTTCTAACAGCCATAATATCAATACTATTGATGGACTTAATCTTAACACCCACCAACTTGCTATAAAACTCAACAATCTCTTGCTCAATATCTTCCTGGGAACTTAACAGTCTGCCATCTAGAGCTTGCATATTATAAATCCCCTTTTGCTTGTTCTTCTCTTTAATAGAGGGATGAAAATAAGCATTGTTATTATCCACCAATCTAAGCCAATCCACTTTAGCTTTTTGCATTAAAATGGATTCTTCCATCTGATTTAGATGTAAGACTTGATCAGTGTAACTCTTAACCTGCTCAATAGCATATTTATCTAACAGGTTCTGGTTAAAATGCTCTTGAGCATTCTGCAAGTCTTGTCTAGCTTTCTGAATCTGGATTTTGAATGTCTGAGTACCTCCTGATCAAAGGCTTCAGTTTATTCTGCAACTTCATCAGATTTATCCACAATTTGTACATAGCAAACCCCTTGGCATTATAGTTCCAGCTATTAGCTATAATCTGCATATAGGAAGGCTCTTGGATAATACAATTCAAAAACTTAACATATATGTTTTCTTCCTCAACTACTTCTGATTATCCACCTTAATGGGAGCATGGTCAGAGATATGAGGATTCATAACATACACCTTGGCTTCCTGATATTTCTGAAACCACTCTGCATTACCTAACATATCATCTAACATATCATCTATTCTAGAGTAAATAACACCCTTTGTGTGCTTATTAGACCAAGTGAAATGATGACCAGTAGTACTACCTTCAAAAAGCCCTGTTACTTGCATCATTTCCACCAGGTCTTTGTATTCTTTCTCAGTAACTTTGTTTCCTCCCATCCTATCTTGAATGGATATCACATTATTAAAATCACCTATAACAATCCAAGGCTGTCCAATATTTCTCCCCAATTGCTCAATGTCCTTCCACAGAGTAACTCTTTTAGGTCAATTCATGCTTCGACGCACTCCCGTCTCGTGTTTTCGACAGAGTGCCCAATATTGCTCCCCAATTGCTCAATGTCCTTCCACAGAGTAACTCTTTTATCCCATTGGTTAGATGCATAGATAATGGTAACCAGGTACTGCAGCTGGTTATCCAAACCATAAACCTCAGCATGAATGAACTGCTCATCAGTTCTAAGCACTTTAACCTCTAACTTTTATATTATTTTTTACTTGATGATAAAATCAATTAATTTAATCTTTAAATCATATATTTAGTATTGCGGTTCAGTATTGACATGTTCCAGTAAAAGTATTTAGAGTTGTATAGGAAAAAAATAAAATGCTACATATTTTCGCATATATATCAACAAAATTCAGTATGTAATAGCATTGACAAAAGTATTTAGAGTTGTATAGGATTATTTTTAAATCATATATTGAAAGCATTGCAATTCAATATTGTCGTGTTCCAGTAAAAGTATTCATCAGATCTGAATATATTCCAACAAATATTATTCACATTTCCTTATTGATATGGAAAATTCTCTTGCAAATAAAGACGATGCTGAAAATTAAATTTATGAATAATGCATCAGGGATTAATGTTGAGCACTAGACCAAGAATTTGACTCCACCCAGTTGTATGCCACAGGGCTCAAAAAAGCATCAGGAATACCAAAGGAATTAACCAACGCAAGTGCGTGTGGTCGAAGTTCAGCACAGAGTTTTGGAACTTCTTTCCTCACTGCAGAAGCATTTTCTGTTGACAAGTATCCATATCGGAGAAAGGAAGCGTCTTCGTCCACACAAATCAAGGCGTATAAGGATCTTAACAGACTTAAGACATCCTACAGATATTGATAAAGAGACTTGTTTACTTTATCCTCGAAACAATGTAGCAAATGCACGTGCATAAGCAATAATATGGTTTACCTTCAATGAACCAGCTGGTAAAGCTGACTCAGCCTCTATAAATGTTTTAAGTATTGCTCGTTCAGAGAAAGCTCTGCCCAAGTCCTCTGCGAGTTGGTAACTCTGGTAAAGAGAGTAGTTTCAAATTGTAAGACAGTGATAATTATGAAAGAGAAATTAACTAAACGTCGTAGAGTCCTCACTAGAATAAAGGCAAACTCTTTGCTATTTCCATTAGATTGATGTTCTGAAACCTCTTCAGCAAAACGTTTCAATAGATCTCGCTCTCTTAGGTGGAACAGATCAATCTGTGTAAATGAGAGGTAAGAAACAAATAGAAGCTTCTACCAGGTCATTCCAATTATCAGCAGAGGTTTATAGTTAAATGATTACCTGAAATTCACTGCTCTTGATGGTAGAACCTGTTAACTGAGATGGGATGACTGGACAAGATTTGTTCATGTGTTCTAATCCCAAACCTTTAAATGGCTTGTTTTTTGTCTGACATGCTAGGTATTCTGCAAGGAGTGCCTTGCTTATCTGAAGTGAAACATAGAACCCATAAATTCAATCAGCCCATCGATATTGAACCAAAAAAGGTGGAATGCTGCTTAAATTTGACATGAACTGTTAATGCCACTATACGGAGATAAGTCAAAAATCATAAGCTAAAAGTCTATCGACAAGGTTCACACATATCAGAACAAATCTAGAGCCTAGGCCTCATTTGAGAATATTTCTCTATTCTAAGACTAATGTGCACTTTACACATAACTCCTACTGCATCACAACCTGATATGATTCAGGCATTGTTAAGTTTCATGTTTAACATAATACTGAACATACCTGCTGCATCAGAACATTGTTGTCCCCCTCAAATGTTGAATGCACATCAAATTCACCCTTGAATTGACCGATACGGTTTTCAGTTTTGACACCTTGTCCCCCACATGCTTCACGACATTCCTAAATTGATGCATTAATAGAAACTTAGTGAAGCCAATAGCTTATGAAATACAATCTATCACAGCCAAGTATAGTAGCAATTCTTACCTGAAGAGTACGCATATTATTCCATGTAAAAGTAGCCTTGTACGCACTAGAAACAATATGAATTGCTTTGTTTGACTCGGGCGTTCTATTCACATACATCATTTTGAGCTCAATTGAAGCAAAACTCATAGCGTATCTGTAGAAGAAATGACAAGATGAACATAAACAGGTCCATAATTATATCTGCTGATGGTCAAACTAGGATAGTCGCTTGTTATTAAATCATTAACGTATAAGTAGTTATTAAAACCTAACAGCATATATGTGCAGGGTTTTATGTCACATTCTGATTAGTGTGTGCTGCATGTTGAATTTATATCTGGGATATATACTAAAAGTAGCATACCTGAGTTCTGGTTCATAAAGGATTTGAATCACTTTGAGTTATCAGCAAATAGATATTAAAACGCATTAATTGGAGTACTTACATCTTTGCAAGTAAAGGTAATAGACGCTGTTGATGACTTGGGTAATCAAGCAGTAAGACTTCAGGCCCATTTGGTGTAATAGAAAAGGCCCGCCTTGTCAATGCATATCTTATAGCAATGGCTAAGCTAATCTAATAATAGAAAATGAAAGACATGATTCTGAAGATGTTAAAGTTTGGCGACTTTGTAAAATACATAAAAATAAAAAAAAACAGAAATACATTCATATCCACAAATAAAGACGGAATCATTACCTTGGATATATAAACAGAACTGGCAGCAATATTTACACGACCAGAGGTCAGAGGGGCTAAGAATGCTCCAAATCTCTGGAGCGAGAAATGCATACGACAAAAGATATGTGAGCAATTTTACCAATGGGAACAAGTAAGAGCACAAGGAGATAAAAGAAAATGACATTTCTCAAAAAGAGCAATCACCTGATCTGCATTTTTAATTGCACTCAAATATTCTCCACTTGGTGAAACGTCAGCCACGGAATTTAACAAATTCTCTCTGGGTATTCTCACATTGTCAAACCTGAAATCAGATGACCAGATAGAACTTGGGTTTACTCGTTTAAAAAAGTTTCATTTATCAGGTGCCATCTTGCTTGAAAAGTACGTGTATATTACCAGATACGGCCATTATCAACCCCGTTTAAACCAATTTTGTGACCACATTCAGCAATTCGGATATTTGGGCATATGTTTCCATCAGAATCCCTGATTTGAGCAATAAAAGCATGCACCCCTTGATTGCTACCATTTATGTTGAGCTGTGAAAACACTATAGTATGTGTTGCATGCTGAATAGAAAAGTATGTTAACACAGACTCTATATGTAACAAACATAGAGCAGAAGAAAGTGTAAGAAACAAATCAATCTTACAACGTCTAGGCTTTTAAATGGAAATGATAATAAAAGAGTCCTTACATTTGCAGCACCACCGATCCAATACTTCTGAGCCGACTCACACGGAGTATTGATGACAAATTCTCCAGTATTTGGATCATAAGTAGTGATTGTTTCGATTCCTCGGACCTGCAAAATTTACTCTGGAAAGATTATTAAAAGGGACAAGGTAAAAAGCATGATAAACTACACGTGGACCTAATAATTCCATCCATTGAGCAACCTTCACATACATTACTCCCATGGCCCAACTCAGACATTGCAAAACAACCCTTGAGCTCATAGTTTTCAGTAGCTCTCAACCACTTGTCATGGTGACGCTTTGTTCCCAAAAACTTTACAGCCCCACCCCTGAAATCAATAAAACATTCCAACTTAGTCATTAGTTAAATAAGCTTGTTTGAGGAGGATAAATAAATAACCCAAGATGGAACCATTGACAAATCCATCATTCTCTTCAAGTTATCTACAACCATCTCAATACTTAAAAAATGAAGAAAAAGAAAACAATACAAACTAATTTTATTACACTATAGTTACTCTACCAACAACTAGCTCTAGCATGCATGAAATCACATCAAGTTATAGTTCCAGGTAAACTTGTCTAGCAAGAAACATTTCATTAAACAAGGCCAAGTATGTGTCAAACTTAAAAACCATTCATAAACCCTTCATTTAAAGGCTTGACCTTTCGGGATGCTCATTCTTTAACCAAGTGATCTAGAGTTCCATCATCAGCACTACCTTGTAATTAAAGATTAATGTTAAGTTATTAACATTATTGATTCATTACAACAAACTGTTTGACCATTTATTAGTAAACATTGTGTTATTAGGCATCATCTATGAAGCACGGATACTTCAAAATTGTTGTTGAATCGTATTTGATACGCATATACGCCCTGATACGTCACCGATACGTATCGAAAGACTATCCGATACAGCGGCGACACGCTGCGATACACTGTCGACATGGCTCCGATACGTCATGGATATGGCTAGTTTATCTCGTGATGTATTGCACTACCGTAATGTTTTATAAAGTTAGGATATCTATATTGAGATTACTTGCACACCAAGTAATCAAACAAAACCTAACTAACTTTCAACCTCAATTTGATTAGGCAGTTATTTGAGTCTGTTAACCATATAACTTGTTGTAAAGATTTGTGTGAAAGTAAAAGGAGGTAGTTACCACAAGAAGATATGAACACCGAGCTTAACGCCGAGAGAGTGATCGTACATTCCAATAACCTCATGAAGTGCCAATTTCCTGAGCTCTTCTTGAGGGCCATCACCGGTGAGCCAGCCGCGAAAAACACCGAGATCCAAAAGATACGCTATTCGTTTCATCGTCATCTCACGCTGTTGCTCCATGGATTGATTATAATCCGGGGAAACGAACACCCTTCCGTCGATTTCCCGCCGGTTGAAGAGACGGCTCTGTATCATCGATCCGTAGAGCCAGTCGCGATCCTCCAGATTATGGCCGTCCAAGAGCTTACGCATCTCCATGGTGTCGAATCTTACGTGATTTGATTCAGATAGCTCGGGAGGAGAGTAGCATAGGCAAGCGTTGTGTTG